TCCCTCTTCTCTTCCCTCATCCTTATGCCTCTCTGCCCTATCCCCTCTCCCTCCTCTCACTCCTCCTTTCTCCCTACCCTCTCCTGCCTCCTCCCTCCTTATTTATCTTTCTCTTTCTCTCTCTCCCCTCTCTCTCTCTCTTTCTTTCTTTATTTATGTATTTCTCTACCTCTCTCATGTGTCGTTATTTCTCTTTCTCTTTCTCTTTCTCTTTCTCTTTCTCTTTTTTTCCCAACCCTCCTGTGTTGGGTACTCGTTTTGAATAGAGCACTGCGGTCTCCACCTTCCTTCCTTCCTTCCTTCCTTCCTTCCTTCCCGCCTCCTCCCGCCTGCGGTCGCCATCCCTGGGTGGCTGCGATCTGTGAAACTGTCGTCACGTTCGAGGGCTGCTGGGGGGCCCAGCACAGTGGGTACACACGGCGGATTCAAATGGGACCTCGCCATCCCTGGGGGGCTGCGATCTGTGAAACTGTCGCCACTTTCGAGGGCTGCTGGGGGGCCCAGCACAGTGGGTACCCATGGCGGATTCAAATGGGACCTCGCCATCCCTGGGGAGCTGCGATCTGTGAAACTGTCGCCACTTTCGAGGGCTGCTGGGGGGCCCAGCGGAGTGACGTCCTACGGGAATTCATGTTAGACCTCGCCATCCCTGCGGGGCTGCGATCTGTGAAACTGTCGCCACTTTCGAGGCCGCTGGGGGGCCCAGCGGAGTGACGTCCTACGGGGATTCAGATTAGACCTCGCCATCCCTGGGGGGCTGCGATCTGTGAAACTGTCGCCACTTTCGAGGCTGCTGGGGGGCCCAGCGGAGTGACGCCTACGGGGATTCAGATTAGACCTCGCCATCCCTGGGGGGCTGCGATCTGTGAAACTGTCGCCACTTTCGAGGGCTGCTGGGGGGCCCAGCGGAGTGACGCCCTACGGGGATTCAGATTAGACCTCGCCATCCCTGGGGGGCTGCGATCTGTGAAACTGTCGCCACTTTCGAGGGCTGCTGGGGGGCCCAGCGGAGTGACGCCTACGGGGATTCAGATTAGACCTCGCCATCCTGGGGGGCTGCGATCTGTGAACTGTCGCCACTTTCGAGGCCTGCTGGGGGGCCCAGCACAGTGGGCCACGGCGGATTCAAATTAGACCTCGCCATCCCTGGGGGGCTGCGATCTGTGAAACTGTCGCCACTTTCGAGGCCTGCTGGGGGGCCCAGCACAGTGGGCCACACGCGGATTCAAATTAGACCTCGCCATCCCTGGGGGGCTGCGATCTGTGAAACTGTCGCCACTTTCGAGGCCTGCTGGGGGGCCCAGCACAGTGGGTACACACGGCGGATTGAAATTAGACCTCGCCATCCCTGGGGGGCTGCGATCTGTGAAACTGTCGCCACTTTCGAGGGCTGCTGGGGGGCCCAGCGGAGTGACGTCCTACGGGGACCAGATTAGACCTCGCCATCCCTGGGGGGCTGCGATCTGTGAAACTGTCGCCACTTTCGAGGCCGCTGGGGGGCCCAGCGGAGTGACGTCCTACGGGGATTCAGATTCGACCTCGCCATCCCTGGGGGGCTGCGATCTGTGAAACGGTCGCCACTTTCGAGGGCTGCTGGGGGGCCCAGCGGAGTGACGTCCTACGGGGATTCAGATTAGACCTCGCCATCCCTGGGGGGCTGCGATCTGTGAAACTGTCGCCACTTTCGAGGCCGCTGGGGGGCCCAGCGGAGTGACGTCCTACGGGGATTCAGATTAGACCTCGCCATCCCTGGGGGGCTGCGATCTGTGAAACTGTCGCCACTTTCGAGGGCTGCTGGGGGGCCCAGCGGAGTGACGCCCTACGGGGACTCAAATTAGACCTCGCCATCCCTGGGGGGCTGCGATCTGTGAACTGTCGCCACTTTCGAGGCTGCTGGGGGGCCCAGCGGAGTGACGTCCTACGGGGACTCAGATTAGACCTCGCCATCCCTGGGGGGCTGCGATCTGTGAAACTGTCGCCACTTTCGAGGGCTGCTGGGGGGCCCAGCGGAGTGACGCCCTACGGGGATTCAGATTAGACCTCGCCATCCCTGGGGGGCTGCGATCTGTGAAACTGTCGCCACTTTCGAGGCTGCTGGGGGGCCCAGCGGAGTGACGCCCTACGGGGATTCAGATTAGACCTCGGGCTGCGATCTGTGAAACTGTCGCCACTTTCGAGGCCTGCTGGGGGGCCCAGCGGAGTGACGCCCTACGGGGATTCAGATTAGACCTCGCCATCCCTGGGGGGCTGCGATCTGTGAAACTGTCGCCACTTTCGAGGGCTGCTGGGGGGGCCAGCGGAGTGACGCCCTACGGGGACTCAGATTAGACCTCGCCATCCCTGGGGGGCTGCGATCTGTGAAGCTGTCGCCACTTTCGAGGGCTGCTGGGGGCCCCAGCGGAGTGACGCTCTACGGGGATTCAGATTAGACCTCGCCATCCCTGGGGGGCTGCGATCTGTGAAACTGTCGCCACTTTCGAGGCTGCTGGGGGGCCCAGCGGAGTGACGTCCTACGGGGATTCAGATTAGACCTCGCCAGGCGCTGGGGGGCTACGATCTGTGAAACTGTCGCCACTTTCGAGGGCTTCTGGGGGGCCCAGCACAGTGGGCACCCACGGCGGATTCAAATGGGACCTCGCCATCCCTGGGGGGCTGCGATCTGTGAAACTGTCGCCACTTTCGAGGCCTGCTGGGGGGCCCAGCACAGTGGGCACCCACGGCGGATTCAAATGGACCTCGCCATCCCTGGGGGGCTGCGATCTGTGAAACTGTCGCCACTTTCGAGGGCTGCTGGGGGGCCCAGCACAGTGGGTACTCACGGCGGATTCAAATAGGACCTCGCCATCCCTGGGGGGCTGCGATCTGTGAAAGTGTCGCCACTTTCGAGGGCTTCTGGGGGGCCCAGCACAGTGGGTACTCACGGCGGATTCAAATGGGACCTCGCCATCCCTGGGGGGCTGCGATCTGTGAAACTGTCGCCACTTTCGAGGGCTGCTGGGGGGCCCAGCACAGTGGGTACCCACGGCGGATTCAAATGGGACCTCGCCATCCCTGGGGGGGCTGCGATCTGTGAAACTGTCGCCAATTTCGAGGGCTGCTGGGGGGCCCAGCACAGTGGGTACCCATGGCGGATCCAAATGTGACCTCGCCATCCCTGGGGAGCTGCGATCTGTGAAACTGTCGCCACTTTCGAGGGCTGCTGGGGGGCCCAGCACAGTGGGTACTCACCGCAGATTCAAATGGTACCTCGCCATCCCTGGGGGGCTGCGATCTGTGAAACGGTCGCCACTTTCGAGGGCTGCTGAAGGGGCCCAACACAGTGGGTACTCACCGCAGACTCAAATGGGACCTCGCCATCCCTGGGGGCTGCGATCTGTGAAACTGTCGTCGCCGCTTTCGAGAGCTGCTGAGGGGCCCAGCACAGTGGGTACTCACCGCAGACTCAAATGGGACCTCGCCATCCATGGGGGGCTGCGATCTGTGAAACTGTCGCCACTTTCGAGGGCTGCTGAGGGGCCCAGCGCAGTGGGCTTCCCGCACGTCTTTCTCCTGCTTTTCGCTCCCGTCTCCCCATGTCCTCTTCGAGCCTGTAGCTGTTGCCCTTCTTTCTTGTATGGTTCTCTTGCGCATCATGCCATAGGCGCGTGTCCCAAGTAGCTTACATATCAAACAGCGGATCCTGCAATTTGATTGTCCATGCAAGTTTCGGTCAACTCCTCGTTTCCCATGATACAAATGGGTTGGGTACGTCACAGTTTTTTTTTTGTTTTTTTTTTGTTTTTCTTCTCTCTCTCTCTCTCTCTCTCTCTCCCCCCTCTCTCTATCACTGTTCCCTATTAATAAACACCCCCTCCCCCAGGCGACTGGGGGCCAACCGGGGTCCATGCCGACCCCCCCCCCCCCACCATCCCTTGTAAAAAACCATACAAAACACATTCTGCCTCCAAATTCGGAACATGCGCAGCCAACCCGATGCGGCCCCCCCCAAAACCCCTGTCAAAAAACAATACAGAGTACACTTGGCGGCGGTGGCGGCTGCGGCGGCTGCGGCGGCTGCGGCGGCGGTGGCGGCGGCTGCGGCGGCTGCGGCGGCGGCGGCGGCGGCGGGGGCGGGGGCGGGGACGGCGGCGGCGGCGCGGGCGCGGCGGCGGCGGCGGCGGCGGCGGCGGTGGCGGTGGCGGCAGCGGCTGCGGCGGCGGCGGCGGTTTGGCAGCGGGGGGCGGCGGCGGCGGCGGCGGCGGCGGCGGCGGCGGCGGCGGCGGCGGCGGAATGGCCCCCAGTAGCTGCCCATCCAAAGACGACTGCTGAATATGCTCAGGCTCGGGCCAGACTCGGGTGCTACGTATGTGTTGGGAGGGCGGGTGGGAGTGAACGAGACGGCTTGCGGGCGGGGAGGGGGTAACTTGACCTCTAATCAACCGCCTCCCTCTTCGCTCCTTCTCTCCTGGCGTTTTTCCTCTTCTTTCGTCCCTCCCCCTGCCTTCCTCCCACTCTCCCTCGTTCTCCCCCTCGTCTTTTTGCAGGGCCCACACCAATTCCAGTGGCGGGCACATGTACGCCCACGAAGGATTGTCCGTCCGTTCAGATTTGCCTGCCTGTCTAAGCCCGCCGCCCCCCGCAAAGAGAAAAAATCCCCCCAAAAGAGGTGTGATCGAAGACAAAAAGGGCGGATATCGAAGGTGTGGGGAACTCGTTTCGAATGACACACGGGCAAGTAAGAGCGAACAGTCTTATAATGATTGTTGTTGCTGTTGTTCAAGACAGTGTCCCTAAAACTCTTGACCCGCTTCCTCGGGCCCTTATTTACACAAATCCGGCCGTTTTCGAAATAAATTGGATACCTGGGTCTCTTCAGCCCCTGACCCTTTCTGCGCGCAACCTGAGAAGCCAGAGTATTATCACGATCGCCGAAGTTGGAAATATCATCCCTTGGTGTTGGTGTTGGTGCCAAGCTCTAGGCCTCCGACTCTAGGTGTTGGTCTGCGCGCCGCCGGCCAGTCCTCGCGCTTCCGGCGGTCCTCCGCCTCGCGCCGCCGCCGGTCGTCGTCCTCGCGCCTGCGGCGGTCGTCGGCCTCTCGCGCCCGAGAGTCATAGGACCTGCGTGGGGCGCTGCGGCACAAAACATGGTCCGTGCAAGTCAGGATCGCCGTCGCCGTCGCCGTCGCCGCTGTCGCCGTCGCCGTCAACGTCTTCGTCGCCGTCGCTGTCGCCTTCGCCGTCGCCGTCGCCGTCGTCGCCGTCGCCGTCGCCGTCGCCGTCGCAGCTGTCGTCGCCGTCGCCGTCGTCGTCGGAAAAAAAATGAAGAGGAGGAGGAGGAGGAAGAATCCAGAGTCTAGTCGCCACAAAGTCGGCTCCATGTGTGTGCGGCACAGAAGTGCAGGATGGGTGTCGGAGGGGGAAGATAAATTTCAACTCGGTTGTAAACGCTTCAAATCGTCATCGAGTGGTCGGTTTTCCCCATATATTTCGTGGGGGTTGGGTTTTCTTCGCTGCCGCGTCGCACCCGCGTCTCCCGCAACACACACACACACACCTCCCTCCCTCCTCCCTCCTCCCCTCCTCTTTTTTCCCTCCCCTACAAGCACACATATACACAGACACACACACACAGACACACACACACACACGCATCAATTCCTACACACAGATACACAAACACACAAACAACCACATACACAGACACGGCCGCACACACACACACACACACACATAGACGCAGACACACACACACACACAGACACACACACACATCAAACACAAACGTACCACACACCACACAACACAGACACAAACACAGACGCAAAACACGACAGGCGTTGCACTTTCTCGGCGTCAAAGGGGGTGCGCAGAGGGGTGCGGTCTCTATGCGATGCAGGCTCGCAGGGCACGGCAGGCGTGTCATTTTGTCGACAGCAGAGGGGGTGCGCAAGTGGTGCGGTCTTTATGCGTCGTAGGCTCGCAGGGCACGGCATGCGTGGTACTTTCTCGACACCACAAGGGGTGCGGAGGGGTGCGGTTTCTATGCGCTGCACGCTCGCAGGGCACGGCGTGTGTGTGTGTGGCATTTTTCAGACAGTAGAGAGGGTGCGCAGGGGGTGCGGTCCCCATGCGCTGCAGCTGCGTTGCAGGCTCGCAGTGCACGGCAGGCGTGGCAGCTTCTCGACATAAAAGGGGTGCGCAGGGAGTGCGGCCCCTATGCGTTGCAAGCTCGCACGGCACGGCAGGCGTGGCATTTTTAGACGCCGGAGAGGGTGCGCAGGGGGTGCGGTGTCTATGCGCTGCAGGCTCGCAACGCACGGCGGGCGTGGCACTTTCTCGACACCAAAAAGGTGTGCGCACGCTATGCGTTGCAGGCGCGCAGGGCACGGCAGGCGTGTCATTTTCTCGACACCAGATGGGGTGCGCTGGGGGTGGGGGTCGCTATCCGTTTCAGTGTCGCCCGTGGTGGCAGGTGCGGCATGTCCTCAACGTCAAGAGGGTGCGTGAGGGGGTGGGGACGCTATCCGTCTCAGGCTCGCAGGGCGTGGCAGGCGTGGCACTCTTTCGATGCCAGAAGGGGTTCGCTGGGGGTGGGGGGGCTATCTGTCTCAAGCTCGCAGGGCGTGGCAGGCGTGGAATTGTCTCGACGCCAGAGAGGGGGTGCGCAAATGGTGGGGGGCGCTATCCGTCTCAGGGTTGCAGGGCGCGACAGGCGCGGCACTTCTTCGATGCCAGAGGGCGTTCGTTGGGGGGTGGGAGCGTTACCCGTTTCAGGCTCGCAGGGCACGGCAGGTGTGGCATTGTCTCGACGCCAGAAGGGGTGAGCAAGAATGGGGGGCACTATCCGTTTCAGGCTCGCAGGGCGCGGCAGGCGCGGCATTTCGCGACGCCAGAGGGGGCGCGATGGGGATGGGGGCGTTATCGGTCTCGGTGTTGTAGTTGCAGTTGCAGTTGTAGTATTGTTAGGGATGTGTGTGGTGGTAGTCGTAAGAGTGGTAGTAGTAGTAGTAGTAGTAGTAGTAGTAGTAGTAGTAGTAGTAGTAGTAGTAGTAGTAGTAGTAGTAGTAGTAGTAGTAGTAGTAGTAGTAGTAGTAGTAGTAGTAGTAGTAGTAGTAGTAGTAGTAGTAGTAGTAGTAGTAATAGTACTAGGTAGTAGTAGTAGTAGTAGTAGTAGTAATAGTAGTAGTAGTAGTCGTAGTAGTAGTAGTAGTAGTAGTAGTAGTAGTGGTAGTAGTAGTAATAGTAGTCGTCGTCGTCGTAGCCGCCGTCGTAGTAATAGTAGTAGTACGAGTAGTAGTAGTCGTATTCGTAGAAGTAGTAGTAGTAGTAGTAGTAGTAGGAGTAGTAGTAGTAGTAGTAGTAGTAGTAGTAGTAGTAGTAGTAGTAGTAGTAGTAGTAGTAGTAGTAGTAGTAGTAGTACCAGTAGTAGTAGAAGTAGTAGTCGTAGTAGTAGTAGTAGTCGTAGTAGTAAACGCAAACATAGTATTGGCAGTAGTAGCAGTGATAGTGTAGTAGTAGTAG